GGCGCATAAAACATTTTTCTGTCTTGAAGTTGCGTCGTCCCGGTAGATATCTGGTGCTGTCGCCGGACCAACGGACGAGCGCCGCTGTATACTTTATCTGGTAGAACGCGCCTTGCAAGCGAGCCGAGATACTGTGCCCTAAACCCAACCTCATCGTTAAAAAAAAAAAAAAAGGAGGGGGAGGGCGTAGTGGTTTTCAAAAATTTCGTGGCCTTGTTCTAACCCCCGTGATAGAAGTGCTGCTCCAAACCTGCTCCAGAATGGTATTGGCAAACTAAAAAGAATGAAGTTGAACCATGGGACCATCCCGTAAGCATAAGCGAAACCAAAAGCAAGCTGTATACACTATGATGCCAGTATGCTACTCAGTGGCATAAATCCAGACAAATCTCCAGGGGTGACTCATATCAAGTCATGGTGTGCAATCCGTATTTTAATAGCTGTATATTTATTTATAGAGAAATTAAATCATGCTTTTAAATAAAATGAAAAAAAAACGAGCATGGGGTCCGAGCTCGAGCAATTGCATTGTTCTATTCAGTCTCTTTTTTTTCACCTTTTTTTTTTCAATTTCCATAGTTCACACAGCTGAAGGGCATTTACCACAGGTACGCAGTAACAGATAAAAAGCCGTTTAAAAACTTGATTGCGCTATAGTTAACTGTTAACAATGATATCCCGTGCTAAAGCAAAATCTCAAGTGGTACACTTGCACGGGGTGTTCTCCACAGCCTGAACACCAGAGAATTACAGACTATCTTGACCACCCTTCCCCCCGCCTATGATTTACGCCAACTATGCTATTTGTATACTAGATGCATACTAGCATACGGCATGTTTAATAATAAATATAGATATTGGATTCTTATGGGATCTTTTAGACTTCAGGAGTTGGAACATGCATCTGTTCCGAAAACACCAATACTGCTCTGAAGACACTTAAGCTAGGCTGCTCCAAAGCACTTTTTTTTTTCTGATCCAGAAATCAAAATGTCGCTTATTCCATCACTGTAACCCGCTCAGAACGCTGCTTAAACCGCCTTCGCGCAATACACCGGTGCCCTGCGGGAAATCGTATGTTATGATTTGGAAGGGACTGTTAGCACAACTCACGGGACAGCTAATTTGTTCAATTACTCATGCATGTATTCGCGGCGAGATTGGGTTATATGTGGCAGCACCGTCCTCCGCCGAAGTGTGGATAGGTATAGCACACGCAGAGGCACTTAGTTGCGTGCGATCTGATCCGACTTTCGGCGAATTTGTGTACTTATTTGATACTGTCAACCCCGTGCTTTGGGGTCAGTTACAGGAAGGGTACGTGTCACATATATCACATAATATTCACACAATGAAGCAGCACATAGGAATAACAGATGAATAATCATCATCAGGAAATGATGGACCAAGCAGCAGTGACTATAAAGAAACAAGTTCTGGCACCAGAAGTTAGCGCTTATCAATGCAGAGAAAGCTGTCTAACGCGTCTTTATAGTTGACTGATGATTTTTGAACAAACAGATCAGGTAAGCTATTCCACATTTCTATTGCATCTGGAAAAAAAAGAAAGGAGTGGCGGCATTCACATACCTTTTAATAGCCCTTATGTTTGGAAGGATGCCAAGAGCATTTTACGATGTGTTTGAAGCAGAAAGCCGCATTCACTCTGAAATTATTCTGGTGAATGGAGGGTACGACGACAATAGACACCACTTTGAAAAACTGCACTTGCCTACCTCGTTACATGCATTGGCAGGTGAGCGAGAACAATTGCTTTCGTACTTCGTTCCAGACATACGTACAAGCACCCTCGCGTTGAGATAACCGAACAAACCACCCTTTGAGAACGTTGATAAAGTATGTGCGCATTAAAAACACGACGTGTCTAGCAGACGACGCGTGGAGCAATCCATACTTGCGCGCTGCAGCCAGTTGACCCCAGGTGGCGGCTCCGTTGTGAGCATTAGAATGATCTTGACGCCTGAGAAAGTTTGGAGGCAATAATTTGGAGAAGCGTATGACTGTCAATAATTTGGAGGAGTGTATGACACTTCTGCCGCCTTAAAAGAACTGCAATTTTTTTTTTTTTGCCAACCCTACTCCTCAGTTTCACGAATCTCTTGAATCTGCAAGGTCGCCAGATCTACATTTTAATTCACGGATTCTACCAAAGGATTCAACAGGTGCGGCTAGTGTTAATGTGGACATTATCATTGAATGCTCAGTGGGGTAGATCAACATACTAGTTTTTATTGTGATAGCAATTATATGGACACTCTCGGTTGAATTTCGCCGCCGGCGTCATGCACCGTATATGTATAGTGTGTCTATATATATGAAAATGCAAGAAATAAAAAAAATCCAGGTAAGAGACTCCAGCGCGCGAAATCAAACGTGGGACCTCTGCGTCGTGAATGCGAGGTGTTAACCACTGAGTCACCGAGGGGTACCTCCTTCAATGTTCAAACGGCAAGCTATTTATATCTACCACTTACCTCTGCTGGCGGACTTCTCGAGGGGGGGGGGGGGGGGGTATCGTGTTTTTAGCATTATTCAGCAAGATGGTGCAATGAGTGCGCGGCGGCTCTAAGGAGGATTTAAAAAATTGCTGGAGTGGAAATGATTGCCCAGGAGTGAATCCGTGTCTATGGCAAGATGGCGGCTGCGGTGGCCCTCTTACTAGGGGCATGATAAAGTACCACCGTTCAGCGATTAAGAACGGAGTTATTTATTTCGTCGGGAACAGCTATCTTTAAAGATAGAACTAACTTTGCATTTACATTAACATATCAAAGACACTTGGTTTTTAAGTCGGCACTACCAGAAAGGAGCATGTTTCCGCCATCTTGGCAGTGGCAAAACTGGCTTTATTTCTGCTGGCAAGGCTTGCGGGAGCTTACACTCTAGCAATTTTTTTAATCCTTCACGGGCGGCTCTTATTTCTCACGCGTACTTTGACCCGCGGAGAGGAGGGGAGTGGAGTAGACGATCCCTCGCACGCCCTTATCTCCCGGTGGGGAGGATCACACGTCTTGGCTGGCGTTGGGCTTGCACTGGAACGATTCTGTTGTAGTAATGGGGCGCACAAAGGTCACTGCAATCGTTGGACAGCCTCCGTTTGCGAAAAGGGCGCGCTTTTCAGACAGAGCGAAGTGAAAACTGAGACGCTTATTCGCGTTCATCTGTACATGTGAGTACGTTTCGTGCGTCATTTGTGCGTGAGAAACGCGGGAACGTTTCGATCTGCTTGCCATTCTGCGCATGACCTTCCAATTTGTTGTTATCGCGTTCATTGCTTCGCCTTTGCGGCAAACCTGTGACTTTATTGAAACAGCAGTGACCATGTTTACTCCGCATGATTTAGGTGATGTTTAATGGCTTGCACATACTTTATTTTTCTTAATGTAAGCCTTCTTCGCTCCAAATTCTGTCATTAGTGATAAAAATAGATGTTTTACTCTCCGTAACCTGCTCTAAATTCGCATTTTAGTGCTCCAAAAGTAAGATTCTGCGGCTCCAAATATTGCTTCAAATTCTATTTCGGCTGTCGCACCCCTGGTTGGAGTTACCGGGCGCACAAAGGTCACTGCACCCGTCGCGCAGTCTCTATTTGCGAAAAGGTCGCGCTTTTCAGACTCAGCGAAGTAACAACTCAGACGCTTATTCGCGTTCATCTGTAGCTGTGAGTACGTTTCGCGCGTCATTTGTGCGTGAGAAACGCGGAGCACGTTTGGATATGCTTGCCATTCTTTGCGTGACCTTCCAATTTGTTGCTATCGCTTTCATTGTTTCGCTTTTGCGGCAGAGCTGTGACTTTCTTTCAAAATAGTTTCAAGTTGTGGCATCGCTCTGTGGTAGAACGCTCACCTGCAGCTGTAGAATGCCTCGGTTCAAGTCATTTCAAACTTTGGGGTTTTTTCCCCTCCTTTTATGCAATAGCTGTGACAACGTTTTCTGTGACACACGCGGTGACACACACCGATGCCAGTGGCAGACATCACCAACAAAATCTGCTATTATTGTTTGTTGTAAGCTCAACTTGTACTGCGAATGTGACATCTGTGTCTAGCTTGCCACCACTTTAAACTTACACAACTAATGAACACGATTCTGTACATCAGCTGTGTACATAACAGTCAGTATAATCTCTTCATAAAGTGCAGCAGTTATTGATTAAAACCTTTGGCTTGAACAACGAAAAAAAATTGCGACGGAAAGTTTAACATTTCACACAAAATGTTGACAAGGTATGGGCATTGCACAAGCTTATATTTTACTCTGAATTCATTAAATATGTTGTGGCCATGCATGTGTAATCACTTGGACTGATTTCGAGGCTGATTAGGATGTGATACAGAACATTTTTGCGCCTTACCCCTCAAGCTGACTGCAATGACTCATACTATTTAGTATTCTGCTCTGACCTCAACAAGCACAAAACTCACATTGGGTACAAAATCTTTGGTACTATTTTAGATCGAAAGTGGACGTACTTGTTCAATACCCTTCATATGGTAAATGAGATGAGGCTCCCTAATGTGTTACGCTGGCTGGAGATGTTGCACATTTGTGCCTGCAAAGGGCACGCTAGCTAAGAGCTCATTGCATATATCTGTATATATTAGGCGTGATTAGTAACAACCATTGATTGTCAAACCATAACCCCACAAGAGGTTCGCTACCATTTCTACACATGAATAATAATAAAGAAAGAATTCACTTTGCATTGTCACGCATTGTTAAAGTTAAAAAGCCCATCTCTTCGTTTTTGCCGCAATGACTATTGGTTTTAATAACTATTTCGCGCAAAGAAAGGTCACCGAATACGAAACTATGAAAACAGTGTCATTTCAGATCCCCGCGTCTGCGCACTCAGCATTCGATCGGATCGCACGATGAAAGGCATATAAAAACACACTTTCTCGGCCTGTAATACCTGGGAAAAACTGTAGGATTCGGATACGGGTGCGCGCGCTGTACCACACCGCGGTATTGCTCACCTGTTGATCGCACTGCAAGCAGCGCCTGTCGGCCTTGTCGACACACTATGTGGCACAAAATAACGCTCTCCCACGACTATCAAGCGTCACCTGTATGATCCTCCGAGCAGCCTACCGCACGGGCTTGTAGCGGTACGCTTATACATGCATGTGCGTGGGAAGCACGCGTTTTCCGTGCAACTGTACCGATTTGACAAAGGTCACTGTTATCTGTTATTTCGGAAATGATTGTCGCCCGTTTACCGCGTGCAATTGTTCGCTCCAACCGCTGTGACTCGTATCATTACGAATATGAACTGATTCTACAGAGGTGACCGTTATCTATTTCGGGAATAAAAAATTGTTGCCCCAGTGTGGCCTCAAAAATAATGAATGATTAGCAACCGAGATGCCCGGCATCCGGCATGTTATCAAGCGGATTTCCCTGATCGAATCACGGCGCCCTGCGATGAGCAAGTGTAATTCCACTTTGCCGAGCGCGCTGCACCGTAGGGCATTGAGTTTAATACAGACATTTTAATATGACGCTCTATTCGTTTTACGAGGCGGAGTTTAGTAAGTGCTTTCGCATTTTTCTCGGTATGACAGCTTTCGCTAAGTTGCGAGAAGCATGCGACGTGGTGCCCGCGTCGCGCTACTGTAGTGCAATGGGGCTGTATTGTGAAGACATGGTAAGCCTATCTGTTTTCAAAGACGCTGTTTTCAAAGACGATAGTCTTTATTGGGGACCTTCGACGCAAAAATTTCGGTCTGTCTGTACATTTGTTCGTTTGTCTGCCCTTAACGGTATGCTAAACGGCACCACTGTGGCCAAACGATACTCCAAACGGCCGACCCCATCCGCAGCGCCCACCAACATTGCTCAAGATTCAGCGCTCATACTTGTGCGATTGTCAATTAAAAAGCAATTATTGCGCATATCTGAGGCATCATAACAGCACGTCAATATTCTCTATATGTGTGTCTTTTATTATAGAAAGGCATACATAAGTAATTCTAAGGACCGTAGCGTTTATCACGTTGTGCTGACCAGGCAACGCTTGCACGAAAAGGCAAGCGTTTCCAACGCTTTCCCAAGACGACACGGTGGTGGCACCTACCAGTCGCCTTGCTTTACACCTGATCATGTGTGACGTGACTGGATGCGCTCGTTCGCCTCCGCTGCACGCTCGAGGCACTCTTACGCAGCGCCTTCAGAATACCATTCACCGATTTTCTCGCGCAGAACATCAAGATAAACGTTTTGTTCACTCTCTCCAGACGCAATTGAGACTATCGTCTTTCGACAACATTTGCAGTGTATATGCAGATACGGGGCCATTTTTTTTTTATTTGCGTGCCTCGATCCTTGCCCGAAATTTCCACATTGGTCCCGATTTAGAAGGTTGACGTCACAGACTTGACTTTTGGTGGTTTTCGTTTGCATCATGACGCGCTCGACGCTGCGAGGAGGATGGTGACATGCTGCCCGCCGTTCACCCGTACGTGTTGGCGGCGAAACTGGACCCTGGTATTGCGCTGTAACATTGCCCGTGGAGCTGCAAACTAGCCGGCACAGCAAACGACCACCTTTGTTACTTTCAATTCAAAATTCCTTCCATCGCCTCTTTTTGCTGTTTCGTTAATTCGAAAATCCGCTTGATTCGAAGATTCTTCACAGTCCCAGTGACTTTGCAATTAACCTGTCATGAGTGCATTACCAAAAAGATCTTCACTGTGCTGCAGCCTTATGACATTCAGTTTTAAATGACTAATGAAAGCTAATAATTATTTTTATTGTTACTGCAGTTTTGTTGTACCTTTGTAGGTGGCAAGGGGTTCTTTTACAGATATTCTGTTTGTGTTTATTATGTTCCCCATTAAGCAACCCACATTATCAAAAGGCTGTAGCCTAATGACATGCAGTCTTTAAAGAGCAATGAAAGGTTATTGTTACTTCTCCTTTTACGACACCTCAACAATATGGCTGAGGATGAGAAGGGGTCTGGTGGAACAATACGGATTGCAGCACATTTGGGAATAGTAGCATAAACATTATAGTAATAACCAAGTGTTTATAGTTTAGTTTTTATATTTTGGACAGGCTTCCACAGTGTTCTAAAAATAGTGGAATAGCACCTTGTGAAACTTCAGTCACCTAACTTCCAGTGACAAGTGTGATTTCTAAGAATATCAGCATCAATAGCTATGGGCATGTTATGAGGCCAGAACAGACCTGAAGCTTCAAAGCCAAGATAGTATGCTTTGTCATTGCTAGGCTGATTTAGCTTATCTTCATATTTCCAGTGCACACAGAATTGCTGACTTTTCTTGTTATTTTTTTTTCAATATCTGCATGTTGCAGCTTATTCACTGCTGCGATTTGAATTGCTTATGCAACTGCTCAGGTCAACACAGCCATTATCTTGCCCATGCTGTGTAACAGATAACAATTATTATTGCAGTACATCATTTATAGAGCACTGCTTGTATATGATGAAGAAACACACTGCTTGCCATGTACTTGACAAAAACATTTATTTTTCCTGAGCTTTTTAAGTTGCTTCATTTTGCTTTACATTTATACTATATATAAAACGATAATATTGGTTAAGAAACAGCTGTGTTACTTTCTAGCAGCGATGCAACTGACGTTGCATCATTCACGTGCAATTTGTCAGCCGCAAAAACCAATCAAATTTAATGTTGCTCCACGAATTCCTAAGTAACACAGCAGCAGAACCTAACCTAACATAAGAAGGCCTTCTGGCCACAAGGCACTGGTGAACTTGCTAGAGCCTTTCATAATGCATTAAAGCTCTCATCCACATTTCAAACATGTGCTTAAAGCATAAAACACGATGCATTGCACAATTTCTCCTTTTGATGTATGCATACTTCGTCAACAGGTTTTCACGTTGATGTAGTTCGAGTAAACTACATTATCCTTCACAGCACTGGGTTCTTCCCTGGAGTTAGCGCACAACTATTCAGGCGTGATCCATATCGCATGCTGTTGTCACATTTGTGGAGCCATGTCGATGTATCCCTAAATCGCGCACTGGAATTTGACAGAGTGCCAGCAGTTTTTTGAGTAGTCTTGTTGATGGGTGAATGGGAGATAGTGAGGGGGGCCTCACATGGTCACTGTTCTAAAATGCAGGTCAAAAGAGCCACAGTGACCACCACTGCCTGTCGAGGTAAAGCGCAGCAATCACATGGCGAGGGTCTCTATGTGTCTTTTGTTCACGGTATTGTGAGCTTGCAAAATGGCCTTGGGCCAGCTCGGTCATTGGCTGCATCTACCGGTATGGCTGTAGCATCGCAACGTGTGAAAAACGCCAGCATATTTCAACTCACACGGAAGTGCCGTTACACATCAATCACCCGTTTCTGCCACCGGGCCACAGAAACATCATTGAATTAAAGGATATTACATTTCTTATTTGCGCATAGATGCTTTCTCCATTTCATCATATTCTCTTCGTCTGTTGAGTTCTGGGAGTCCGAGTGTGGCAATGCAGGCCTGTTTTGGCCCGAGTGCCCTTGCTGGGGCTCCTTCATGGCGCTCATATCGTTAGTTGGAGGTGTGGGTCCAGGGTCATGTTTGTTCTTTTCTGAGCTGCCCCGTTTGTGATCAGCAGCTGCCCCAGAAGTGCGTTTTGTTTCGATGATATTGTGACGTTCCCCGTGAGGTATCGGAATGGCGTCGGGCTTCACGTCATGGTGGCTTCTGTTGGCATCCCACGGCATCTCTGTTGAGACAGTAGCAGGCCAGCAGTGGCTGCAGTGTGGCACTAAGCAAATCTGCACAACATTTACGCACATGTTAGTTTCATTCAAGCAGTGAAGCTGCAATGAAAAAATGAAGCAAGTGGCTGAATAGATGCTTATTGTCAGAACCACAAGTACTGCTGTTGCAGTATCAAAAGTCTTTGTGAAAGCTTTCACACTTTATAACTGTGCAAGTACACACTACTATGCCCAGGTATTTTTAGGGAAGACTCATTAGAAACATGTCTCTCTACGATAAAAAAATTGTCACCGAAGTTTGAAAAAAAAATTACAGTTGTTTCTTCCATATAGTATCTTAATTGTCTACAACACGAAAGTAAAACACATCTGCATACATATACTTGCAGCCATTTTGCATGTTAACTGAATACGATTTGCACAGTGTATATTACAGAGCATCAGAGCTGGTGTGACAACCATCAATTTGAATGCACTCGTGTTACACATGCCACTACATCTCAGTCATGCATGTTGCATTTTTGGCAGGCAATCCAGTATGTTGTGATAAGCCTGGATTCGTTAACACAAGGGACACAGTTTGTAGCACACGAAAGTGCTGGCACTTTTGCTTGCATGCTTGTTTCCAGTTTAACCTGGTCATGGTTGGACTGATCCGTGCCAAGATGCTTCTGCGGCACATCAGATTAGTATAGCTGCACCTCTCAATAACACCATCACCGGGGAAGCACATTTTGTTCATTATCATAAATTTGTTGTCGTGAAAATAGAGAAATTCAGACCAATTGCTTTGCAAAACCAAAGTTCAATTTAAGAAGTCGCTTGTCTTGTTCTATTTCTTTTTTTTGTAAGAGCATGATACGACTAGAGCCTTGCAGCTAAATAAGCTCTGAATAGCTTTGTCATTGTTGTGGGCCCTAATTAAAGTGTAAATGATGTCAAAATCGTCACGAACATAGCACAAAGTCATTTGCCTTTCTTGAGTTTTTATTGCCTCCTCAATCTGGTAGTGTCTCATATTGTTTGTGCACACTTTCAGTAATAGTGTCGTCGCTGAACTCTTCGTGCATGATTACAACTTGAAGGTCATGTGCCAACATAGTTTTCAACCGAAGCGGTAACAAAAAGTGTCCAAGCGAAAAAAAGGAAGTTTTGCTATCGTTGCCATCTTTCAGTTAAATGTAAATGGCAATAGTTCCAACAATGCTTATTGGCAGAAGCGTATATGAAAAGTTTGTCGAATGACCGGTGCCACAGTTTTCTAACTTCTGGTTCGCACCTAGCTAAATTAGCACAGAACAGTACCTAAAACTTTCATTATTGCAGGAGTGCTTACATCTCAGTGGAACAATAGTTATAGCGCTCGACTGCTGACCTGAAGGTCGCGAGTACAATCCCGGCCGTGATGGTCGTATTTCGATGGAGGCGAGCTGGTAGAGGTCCGTGTACTGTGCGGTATCAGCGCATGATTAGGAACACCAGATGGTCAAAGTTTCTGGAGCCCTGCAATACGGCATCTCTCATAACCATCTTGTAATTCTGAGATGTAACACCACAGATACCATCATTAAAATTCCTTTGCTGTTGAGAGGTGGCAAATGCATTGAACTCTATGAACGTTTGCAGTGGACTCCAGATTTTTTTCATTTCCGCAACAATTTCCTTCTTGCCTAGATTGTTGCACAATTCTTAGCAAACGGGGATGCTTACATAACACATTCGCACCAGGGAATACATTTGTTCTAATGATGGAGTAATCAGCATGTCCGGCTTTTGTGTAAAACCTTGTGGTATCGGAAGATTAGTGCTTCAGTTGGGTTACTCCATGGAAGTGTTTTTCTAAATCTTTTTCTGAGGAACATAAGTGTCTTTCATAACATCACTTCCATGATGAAAATTATGTGTGCTAATTCTTGGTGGTCCCCAGCATGAAACACTTTCCTGATTGGAAAAAAAAAAGGATTGACACGCCATTGTGGAACGTGCAGCACAGTCGCAGCATAAGCTAGATGGCCTTCACAAAGCCCATTGTTAATTCTTGTGCGGCGCCTATAGAAAGTACAGTTTCAATGTACCCACCTTGTCGTCAATTATTTTATGAAGTAGCGAAGCACCCACTACGCATCTCTAGGGCTAATATGCACACCTGCATAGCTGCACACTTTGCTGTCGCTGGGGTGGATAAAAATGGTGATAATAGTGACCAAGCCTTTTGTAATGAGTTGCTTGTTATCTACTTCAGATAATGTGACACCACATCATCACACTAAGACTGCATCTCGTCACTAGCGCCGCCTTGTTAGTGTTGGCAGTGGCAGTTGCTGTGTTGCCAGTGCGCATCAGAGACGCTTAATCACGTCCCTGCCATACGCGGTCCACGTCCCACAAAAACACTTTCTGCTAAGCGTGTGTGCGGGTGTGCTCTGGGCTTTCTCTGACCTTTGTTGTACCCTGTTTTTGTGTGTGCGTTTGTTCGCTCTTCTGATGTGAAAGTGCGTCTCTGCGCTCTTTTCCGAATACTAGTGTAAATGTGTCTCTCTGCTGATCTAATCGCAGCATCACGATGAAACGCGGCACTGCTGTCACTGACACAGCCATGAAAAAGCGCATGGCAAAAATAAGGACAGGCAAAACACCGATTCGTTGACTACTTCCCATAGAATTAAAGTTGCTGCTAAAAATGCAAAATGAGAAAGAAAATCGCGAATATGTGAATTATAAGCCATGAGGCAATTAAAAGAATGCTTATATACTCCATTATATCCGAATGTGATGTACACATGCTCAATTTTTCTTTTTTCATATTTCCAACTGAGCTTCCACAAACAGTGCCATTTTTTCTGCAGCGTTCTTCTGGGGAACCACATAAAGCAGTAGTCCGCACCGTGTGTCATTGGCGAAACTCCTTTCTGCAAATGGTCCCTTTAGGTGACAAAAGGAGTTTACTTCAAAGTACTTTACCTTTGACCGTGTGTCAGGGTCAAAGGTAAAAGTAGCAGCTATCTGCAACAATTCGTAGCTCTAAAGCGTTGTAATAGATTACAAAGATTACGCAGAGGGCTCAGATCGGTCTGAAAATGACCCGTGGGACTTCGTCTACCTGCCCAACGTGTTTGTAGAAAATCGTCAAAACCCTTTCAGGGATTCAGACTCGGTCACCGTGAGGAAGTTTAAAAACATGGGCCATTTCCGATTCCCGCGGCTGTGCACCCGGCATTCTCAGTTGTATGATGCAATGACACATAACCGAAGTTTCTCGACCCCGCATGCCTTAAGGAAACGAGGATTCGGTTCACATTATGAAGGGAAAAAAACACTTTCCCTGCATTGCACGGTACTGCTGACCGGTTGATCACATAGCAAGCAGCGCGTCAGCCTTGCCGAACGCGCTCCTTTGTGTGCACCGTTAGCGTAATCTTTACGATCATGAGCCGATTGTACAAGAGCTACCGTTGTTATCGGTTATTTCGAGGCTGACTATCGCCCCGTGTTATCGCAAACAGTGAAAAGTTCAGTATCGGTACCCGCGGCGTGCTATCGAGCGGATTTGCTCGGTCTAATCACGCGCCCTGCGATGTGCACGCGATGTGTGGCTTTCAATCCCACTTCATCAAATACGTTGCGCCATTGAGTTTAGTTCGAACGTTTGTCGTTCCACAAGGCAAATCTTGCTAAGTGCTTTCGCTTCACTTCCGGCATGACAGCTTCTGTCGGTGTCGATCGAAGCACTGAACTAGCAAACACGCTGTTAATCTGAGGAACTTACCAGAAACTGAAAGCGCACCAGAGAGCGGACTCGGGGCACACCTGTACCACTTACACACCCACAGAACACCTATATACTACCATTTCAGAACAACGCCTCCTCTGACAGAAGCGGACTGCGATCGCCGAGTTCGCCTTGCCACAGAACACCTACCAGAGGCTTTGGATTGGACAACTTTAGCTGGCGAACTGTTTACGGATTTTTTTTTTACAATTTATTTTTTTTGTAGCGTTGTGTGGTGCCAACGCCTCCTAGATTTCCCGTGCCTGCCGAATAAGCGCGAAACGCCGGTCATCTATGACGGCGCTGCCTACATAGGAATAAATGTCTTTGTACTCGGCATTTGAGATTGGCAATTTTGGCATTTGCTACTAATTTCAAAGGATGCCTTGTATTAAAAAAGTTGCTTGATGAACGACGGCGTCACTTACGTAGGGTTAATTATAAAGACGTTTACGTCTCTTTAAAACATTTTTACGTTGTTTTTGTTGCACATAAGCTCCAAAAACGTAAAAGCCTAATTGAAGACATTCCTACTTGAGTGGCGCCACCACCGTAGTTCGAACGACCGCCGCTTCCCAAGTGACCGCCGGTAATCCGGCAGGCACGGGAAATCTAGGAGGCGTTGGTGGTGCACATCACTCAAGCCGCAAAGTTTCCGAAACTACATGTTCATAAAGCTATTTTACTGCATATTCTTTGCTTAATTAGCTGAAGTTCATGACTTGTCGTCTTCGCAGCGGATTGCTAGATGGAGAGGGCAAGATTTTGCCACCATTTAGATAACTCGGAAATAATTAACAAAAGTGATTGAATTCAGTTTATTATCAATTTTAAGGTGATTGTTTATATGGCAAACTTGTTCTACATCACAAATTATGGTGAGTCCAGTTTTTTTTTTTTTTAATTGAAAGTATCGCGCGTGGTTTCGGAGATCAGAAACTAACACACTGAGTGCGCTGCCTTCCATGGCGGTTCCTGTTATAGTATAGTGTACTAGAATATGTGTACTAGAATACTAGAGTAGTAGTGTAATAAAATAGTGTACTAGAATACATATTCTAGTACACTATAGTTAGAGTGACTGCGTTACAGTGTACTAGAAGGGGACAGTGGGGTGAACGAGGCGGCCGCGTCGTGTCTCGGCTGATTCTCCGGCGGGTGACTGTAGCGGCGGCGCTGGAGCTGCATGGTACTGAAGATCTCAGAAGCGTCTGCATTGGGAGCGCGCGCGAGTGGCCCGCGAAAGCGTGTATTTGCTTGATTTTAGCGCGTTCAATGCGTTTCAGAGTCTTTATCAGTGTATGCACACCTGCTAAGCGCAATAGTGCACGAGTAGATATGCAGACACGCATAAATTTCGTCGGGACGTTCACTGTTTTAAGAGCCTGCCGACAAAAAAAAAAAAAAAAAAAAGGAAACATGTAGTACAATCAGAATTTGCACGGATCCGCCTAGCTTTTCACTCAAGCAGCGCTTTGAGCGGCGCTACATCATAAGTGGCCACTGGCGATCTACAAAGAGGGAAGTATCAAAACCGCGAATAAATCATACGTTCGTTTTGTTGGCAGTTTCTATATCGAGAACACTCTTCCTCACATAAGTCTACACGACATCGATTGTTTCATGAGAAACCCGATTATAAGTAATGTTGTCACCACGTTTATATCGGTGACGACTTAGTTTTATCATCCCAGTTTGGCGAAAGATAATAATTTTTTCATTCTTTTTTTCATTTATTGCATCCTTAAAGGCCCGAGGGCATTACATAAGGGGGGGGCAAAAAATACGCTGTGAGTGTGTATAATTCAAGTTGAACAAATTATTATAAACAGTACAGTTCTAATATGGTAGTTTGGTCAAAAATGACAACAAAAATGAATCAAATAACACACAAAAGAAACGCTTTGGCTGGGAATTAGAGCACAAACAACTAGGCACAAGCAAATTATACATACAGTACGTTGGTAGAATATATTTACAGCCACGGGTTAATGGGTGGAAGCAAAGTGGGATTCCAATTTTGCGCGGAATGATGTGCGGTCAGGTGTGGCAACAATGGTGTCGAGAAGGTGATTCCAAAGTGTTATTGCTTGGGGGAAAAAGGAGTCGTTCATTGCGGATGTACGGCCGTTGATTCGTGCAATGTGGTTTGAATGGTTAATGCGGGAAGAAGTTCTATTTGGGGGCTGTAAAAGTTCGTGTCTTGATTGGGGTCGGAAAAAGAAACTGTGGAGGAGGCATAGGCGCGAGATGAGGCGGCGCGACGCGAGTGATGCAGTTCAATTGATTGTTTTAGGATTGTTTTAGGAATTATTGCTTTCTGAAAGGCTTTCTTGTTTTAACCGCGTGCTTTCGCGCTCACTTTGCTTCTTTTATGCTAGCTCAAGGAGGCCGAGCTGAAAGAACGCCTGTACCTCCTAGTCGAGAACTCTATGCGAAAGGGGTTATCGTAAACATATTAAAGAGTACCAGTTGTATAATATACATAGCCCGTCTGTTACTATGCTTAAATTCACTGTAATCAGTTCTCATTTTGTGTCGACAGCTTAAATTGTACTGCTTTCCTAATATTATATTGGCGTTTATTAAGTGTCAAAAGTGTAGGCAGGCGTTGTCGCATTTTGTTTTAAGAAATATAACTAGTATATGTACATCACGGAGGAAGGAAAAAGGTAAGGAGAGGGCATGCCCAGCCGGCGCAGGGCGTAAAAAATGTGGCGGAAATGACATCATGGCAGCCATATTCACTAGGCACAATGGCGGCGTTGCTATGGTTACGTGTTGCGCAGTGGAGCTGGTCTAGCAGTGAGCGGCCGCGGCTGGCGGCGGAATGTGTGCCTCCCCAGGTCTCGTGCTGAGCCATGGCGGACAATATTAGTGCTCTGCGCCGCGTTATTGGTTACGCAGTGTTCTCCTGGCTGTTACATTACTCTTAGCAACGTTTACAGATCCCTTTGTCCATCACGGGGTTTCAACAGTGCGTAGAACAAGTGCATATCCATGTGTCGTGCGGCGGATGACGTGGATGAAGCAGTTAGTGTTCAGCGAAATTGCGTTGGGCACCATGACGAAGCTGAATGACGACGAACGCCTTGCAGGTCAGTGACGGTTCAGCAGTGCTCCTGCTTGTGACAACGGACGACGATGTTGAGCCCAGCAAGACGCCGTGAGGACCATGTGTACATACGTAGTTTCGTGTTGTGTATGTACAGTAACAACTTGCATGTGCGTATTAAAACACCTTTTCTGTTCCGCTTGGTACACTCTCCACCAGCATTGCATATAATCTCAACGTAACAGCAACCACGTTCAACTGTCACTAGCACCGTGCTCAAAGTCACCATGGTCGCAGAATGCTGACGCCGGTGAGTTTCACGCGGAACACGGGACACAGTGGCAGGACGCTGCGTCGGCCGCAACCGTAGAAGGCGCACGACCAATCGTGTTGTCTGTACAGTTGCTGAATTAATGACGTGAAACCACTCGCCGTTGTCAGTGCATCTAGCGCGCGTTCTCTCGAAGTTGCTTCGTTGTCGGCGAGCTGTTACTCCCTGTTATTACTCGGACGAAGCGATTTCGCTGAAGGTGTCCCGCTGGCTCAGAGTTATGAGCCCAGTTCCATTAGTTTCGGATCGTCACGACACACGCGCTGCGCAGCCCACGTGCTTTCCGAGCCGGAGAGAGCGTCGTGCCTTCTGCTTTACATTCGGATGTAAACAAGCAGGAGAATTTGCCCTAGTCAATATGGCCGACTTCCGGCTTCATCTCGGCTTCACAACGAGTGACGTCAGGGCCTCTCCTTACCTTTTTCCTTCCTCCGTGATGTACACAGTAAACACACACACGCATATATATATATATATATATATATATATATATATATATATATATATATATATATATATATATATATATATATATATATATATATATATATATATATATATAAGGGAAAGAAGTGTATACCTAAGGGCTCGTTTTCCGTGTTTTGACACAATATTAATGAGATCTAACAGACAGTAATGCCAAGGAATGTACAGGGAAAGTTATTAGAACCAATAGAATGTAAATAAGAGAAAAAAGTGGATGAAAAAATAACCAGCCGGCTGGTTATTTTTTCATCCACTTTTCTTTCTTCTTATTTACATTCCATTGGTTCTAATAACTTCCCCTGTACATTCCTTGGCATTACTGTCTGTTAGAACTCATATATATATATATATATATATATATATATATATATATATATATATATATATATATATATATATATATATATATATATATATATATAGATGAAATAGATGATCAGAGTTTCTTCCGGCTACCGTAATAATAGTTATAAACTTCGAGAATAGTGCAGTATAGGAAACAAAACAATAAAATATTTATTTAATCCTAACAGTTTCGGCTGGTGGACCAGCCTTCTTCGGAGGATGTAAGTGAAATGATACAAGTTCCTGTAGCAGAGGGTCACCCTCACAGTTTAAAGACCCTCCAAAAAAAAAAAGAGAGAGAGAAAAAGACAAGCGGGCGAACGAGGTAGCAACAGACAACAAGAAGCAGAAGAAGGAGAGGAACTAGAAAGGAGCGACGGAGAGCCGCCGGAAACGAGCGGGTAATTCTGGCATTGTTACTGCGTATAGGTAAGACGCGCCGCCAGCGGAGACGACCAAGAAAAACGGGAAAATGTGGAACATGTTGCCGCTTACTCGCATCCCACACATGGATCGAGTTTAAGTTCACGTGGTTCGGCGGCTGGCCCGTGGCATCGGGCCACACACACACACACACACACAAGAAGCATACGACCCGCTCCAGCTTTCGGAATATAATGGCCACGTTGGAAAGCTAATGTGCCCTCTCCCCCTCCCTCCACTTGCCCTCTCTTGCAGAAAAATGTACAACCAGTCATACTGAAAATAAATAAATGGGTATTCTTGTAAAGGGTGAAAATATATAAAAATAAATAATACTAAAAAGTACTCAGAAATGAAAATAAAGTCTAATAATACTAACACAATCCGTTTGGTTCACGTAGCATCGAATTCGTTTAGTTTCGCTATATTGACCAACTTGCGTGTGCGACTTCACGTATGTATAAATAAATTAATTGAGTAATTCAATTTCTGTGTTTCACGAAACGTCGCGGAGACACGTCAGTCGCCCAGGGCTCTCGTTGATTCCGTGG